GGGAGGTGTTCTGCCCTTTTTATGTCCTAGGCTTCCTTTGTTCTCCTGCCCTCTCCCCAGGAATGCTCGTGGTCAAAAGGTGGGAGACAGGTGGGCTGAAGGGGGAAGGGCAGGTGGAGCAGCCAAGGACACAGTGACAAACTTATAGCTCCCTGTGGGGAGGGGCAGTTCCTGGGACAGGTTACCTTGGCAATAGGTTGAAGCAGGGGCAGGTTCTTGATAAGGGTGGAGGAAGGGCTCTGAGGGAATTAACATTTCAGTCCCTCAGGGGACCTCTCCAACTTGCTGGACTCACTCAAAATTGGCCTCCTGGATCCCACCTGTCTCAATTGACCTGATTGCCTGTGCAATTCTGGCTTCAGGACTGCACCACTGTGTGCCAGACATTTAAAAAGGCCCAGGGCTGGAGCAGAGGCCACACCTGTGATCCCGGGGGGGAGGTCAAGGCAGGAGGGTCCAAGTTCAGACTACCTGGGCAAGTTAGCAAGGCCCTGTCTGGAAATAAGAAATGAGAAGCTGAGGTGCTGCTCAGGTAGAGCCCCTGGGTTCAGCCCCAGAGCCTGAGTAAGCAAAGCAGGAATGAATGGAAGGCTCTGGGGTCAGGGTCCGTCTGGCCTCAGCCTGGCTCCAAGCGCAACGCCCGCTGCTCTTTGAGCATGAAGTGCTCAGGTAAAGGTGGCTGGCCACTGTTGCTGTACCTGCTCCACAGCTGCAGCTTGGGCCTCACGGACCAGAAAACAACCAGGTTTTCATTGGGTGGGTGGGGTACGGAGGCGTCAGGAAGATGGGGAGGCTGTGGCTGCTGAGTGGCTCAGAAGGAGAGGCACTCTGGAGGGTCAGGAGGGGCTCAGCCAGAGGACAGCACTCCTGCAGGGGCTTGGGCCTCCACGAGGGGGAGAGGAAGGGCCTTGGGCAGCTCTGTCTGCGGTGGGGAAGTTGGAAACCTGCAGCTCCCAAGCCAGTTGGGCCGAGCCGCTGGGCTCTGCCTGGGGTGTAGGTCAGACAGGTGGGGTGCAGGCCGGCCAGGTGGGGTGCAGGGGAGGGTGCAGATGCTGTGCTGGCAGGGACACAAGAAGGCTAGCCTGGGGGCCTGTGGCTGAGGGTTTTCCCCGAAGCATGAATGACAAAGCCCATAGCCAAACCCCAGGAACCTCCAAAGGAGACTCCCAAGGAGTGGGGTTTCAGAAGACCATAGGAAGGAAGGGAGCCAGGGACAGAATCAGAGCCAGATGGACAGAACAAAAACTCAAGGGTTTTATTCCTATTTTTTGCAAAGAAATAACAAATAATAATCGATGGAGAGGAAATACCGGCGTCAGGGATATGAATGGTGACAAAGTCACAGGTGAGGGAACAAAGCTCAGGAAGGCTGTTTCAGTGCTCAGGCCACTCCCAGCAAGTTCTAAACCGCCCAGGCTGTCCTCAAAGCCTGTGGACATGCCAGAGCCCAGCGGCCTCTTAGAATCAGAGAGCTGACGGCGGGCCTGGGCACACCCTGGGCAGGGGCCTACAAAACCCTGGCACCAGAGGACAGCAGCTGCCAGGTTCCCGTGAGGCTGACCCCTTATACCTTATTTAGAGACAGGGTCTCGCCTAGTTACTTGGGGCCTTGCTAAGTTGCTGAGGCTGGCTTTGAACTTGGCATCCTCCTGCCGCAGCCTCCTGGGCTGCTGGTGTCACAGGCATGTCCACTGTGCCCAGATTCAAGAATATTTGAACTAGGAGTGCCTTCAGGGAGACTGCAGTGGACACAGCTTGCAGGAGCAGATGTGAGTAACCCATGAAAACTCCCGGGAGAGGATGCAAAGGTGACTGGGGAGAGAACACCTGCTGTGCCTCTGGGGACGCTGTGGGCCAGGGGGGACTTGGTGGTGCTGAGGACTGCAGAGCATCCAACATCTGGGCTCTGTGCCCATGAGGGGTGTGGAGAGATGGCCACCCTTCCTGGAAGACAAGGAGTCACCTAAACCCCAGAAGTGGCAGTGGGAGCAGAAAGTGGGGCCATGCCTGGGCAGCTGCACCTGGCTGAGATGATGGCCTGGGACTTGGGGTGGCCATGCCTGGACGACTACCCTGGGCTGAGGCCCAAGTCAGTTCTACAATCCGAGAGGCAGAGTGGCTGCCCCCCCAACAATCCCCTCTTCCCTGAAAACAAGCACACTGGGGAGAAGTCCCACCAGGTGGCAGCACCCCTCAGGGTGGCAAGGAGGGGAGCCTACCTGGGGAGGTGAGGAGTGGGGAGGAACCCCACCTAGGGGGATGGGGGAGGAAGCCCACCTGTGGGGGACTGGGGGAGAGGAATCCTACCTAGGGGGACTGGGGCGGGGAGGGGAGGAAGGAGGAAGCCCACCAGGAGAGACTGAGGGGGAGGAGGAAGCCCACTTGGGGGGACAGAGATATGGGGGAGAATGCCCACCTTTGGGAAGCTGAAACAGGCAGCCACTATGCACCTCGCCCTCCACCTGGGCCGCCCTGAGCAGAATGTGGGCAGGCAGCAGAGCCAGCACTAGAGATCCCCAAAGAGACAGAACCTTTCAGGACAGGAGCTGCCTGTGGTCTGCTAGCAGCAGTGGACTTGCCTTGGGTCTCCTCTGGAGGTGGGTGGTGAGTACCCTCACCAGGAGGGGCCTGCCCAGCTGTGCAGGACACTGGTTCCCAGCAAGCAAGCACCCACACTAGCTCCCGGGATCACAGCCTCAGGGCCTGGGTGCAGCTCAGGTGGGGCCTGGCCTCTGGGAGCTGCAGTTCTCAGGAGGGAGGGCCCCTTCTCAGTCCTGCCCCTTCCCAGCTGGATCCATAGCCCGTCAGTGAAACGGGGCAGCTCAGGCCCAGGAGTCACAGGACAGGTGTGCTGCAGGGACCCCTCCCGCCCCCTACTGCTGCACAGAGGTGATACCAGGTGGCACAGGCCTCAGCAAATGGCCATTTCTTTCGGGAACTCTTGCTCTCTCTCCTGCCCACGTGGCCCTGTGCTGGAGGCTCCCCTTTCCCACGCTGCCCTGTCCATCCCAGCCCCTCACCTGAGACTTGCCTGCTGCTGACTGCCAGGCTGGTGGCCAGACCTCACCTGGTGTGGCCAGAGGCAGGCAGAGGGCTGCAGAGCTGAGGGCCCAGCCAGGCCTTGGCCTTGCCCAACAGCTTCCAATCCAGATCTGTTTCCCAGTTCTAACTGGGACAGGCCTGATGCTCAGTTCTTAGGGAGGTGACCCTGCCCTTCAGCTCCATAGGGCTGTGGCCACATCAGGCTCTTGGCTGCCTGACCCTCACATTGGCTCCCCAAGGCCAGGCCTTACCCAGGACCTCACCCATTGTGGATCATGCCTTCAATATCCTAGTCCAGACAGTGAGGTCCTGCCCACTGTTGCGTGGATGCAGCCCTCTCCTGACCTCTGGGGACCTGGTCTGAGGCCGAGGTTCCTGCTCCCCCCAGGGCTCCATGCAGGTGTGTCCTTTGGCTCTTAACTCTGGTATTTGGCTCCTGGGCTCCCAGGGGGCCTTGGTCAATGGGTGGCCCTTGGAGTGGGGTCCGAGGTGCTACGGGTTACAGCAGGACCCTGGGGCAGCTGCGACGCATGCCACAGTCCACCACTGCAGAAAATGGGTGGGGGGCTGTCTCTGAAGACCGGGTGGTCAGCAGTGAGACCAGGAGGGCAGGTGAGGCCCAGTGGTTCTGTGCACAGGGCCTGAGGAACTCGAGTGGTTGCTGGCCTAGACACCACTCGGGGGTCAAAGGTGGCGGCTCCTGCCACCATCCCGTGGCTTTCTGTGCTCATAAGCTGTCATTTCCCTGGCAAGTCCCCCCAGGGAGACGTCAGGGAGGGCTGAGGCTAGGCCTAACACAGGTGGGCGTGCCCAGGGGCCCAGCATCAGGCAGCAGCTGGCTCCCTGGGGAGACCTGCTATGGGATAGAGGCCACCAACCCTCGAAGTGCTGTTTACTCAGTGGGGGTCACCTGCTGCCTGGTGTGGGACAGGGACACATGTTCCAAGGGGGTCACCACTGCCTGCATAAAGACGGGCACTCAGAGACCTAAAAACCCTGCAGAATGTTCTGGAAATGACTCAGTGGCTGAGGCTGGGATGGCCAGGGTCTCCGTGACCACATCCAGCCCCACAGGGCTCACAGGGGACAGAGGCCTGCGCATGCTGCCTATGGAGGGATACCCTCCTGCCTCAACCACACAAGATACCGCACCATGTTCCATCCACAATCAAGGCTGTATTTATCTTTGTTCTTAATATGGAAACAGAATGCTTAAAACAACCGGAGTCCACAATAGAAATGGCAGGCTGAAAATAAGAACAGCACAGAACAGGCCCGGAAGCCCAGGAGACAGGAGCAGGTGTAGGGAGCTGGCCACAGCAGATGCTCACAGCGGGAGGAGAGCAAACCCAAACCCAAGCAGGGCAACACTGGGACAGGCTCTGGCTGACCTGATGGCTCCATGGGGGAGAGAAAGAATCCTGGTTACCTTTTTCTCGTAACCAATCTTTAGGCTCTTGCACTCCTAAAATCCTACTTATTGGCTCTGATTCTGAGGATCCACAGGTATGTTCCTTGAGGCCAGCCAATCCTAAAGCCCACATGAGCCAAAGCAGAAGGTGCCTAGGAGTGTCACCTGCCCTACGGCCACTCCCGGAAGGCCCAACTGTGACCACAGACAGCCTCCCAGTGAGCTGCAGGGGCTGGAGGAAGTCCGCAGGAACCTCTTCCCCAGAGCCTGGGGTTGGGCCTTAGAGTGCTTGCATAGTTGAAGGGTGATGGCTGCAGGTAGACTTCCAAGAGTGTTTGCTACTGACAGCAAGTGAGTTTTGTGACCATGTTAAGTCACCAGAGGGGCTTCTGGAAGCTTATAAAGACTACCGAGGTTAAGAATTTAATAATGTCTTATATTTATATTAAGACTATTTACATTTGTTTATTTTTTAAAAAAACAAACCGAAAAAAAAAATCCTCCTCACACTTCTGCATAAAAGAATAAGGAGAAAAAAAAACCAAAGTTTTGTACATTATTATTAATTCTTATTTTAATATATATCTGTAACTTCGGTTCCAAGTACCAAGGGGATGGGGTGGCCAGGGCCGGCCTGAGCGGGAGCCTCACAGTGTGCTGGACAAAAAGACCGCGTTCTCTCCATAAATAAGACAAAGAAACCCTGGGGCTGGAAAGGGATCTGAGGCCAGTAAATCACAAATCCCAACTAAAAATTTTTTTTTTGGTTCTTTTAAATGTCTGAGAGCACAAAATTAAGAAAAATACAAAACCATTAAAAACGCTTCTCACCTGTGGGGGGAAAGATACAAAGGTGGATTTTCCCAGGGGCCTAATCTCGACTGGAAAACCGTCCCCTGCGCTCCAGGGCTCGCGCTGCGGGGACGCGGAGGGGCTGTGCTTGCGCGGGGTTCGCGCCAGGAGCGTTCGGGACAGCGCGCATCTGCTGGAGAGCAGCCCCAGGGCTACCGCGCCTCCACCTCCTGCGGGTTGCGCGGCGGAGAGTAGTCGCGCGCCTCGCTCGGGCCCAGCGCCAGCGGCGTAGTCCTGGGGCGCGCGGGGATCCCGGCCGCGGCCACGAGCGGGGGCGGCGCGCCGAGCGCGGCGGCGGGAGGGGTGCGCGCTAACAGCGCGCCGTGCAGGGCGGCGGGCCCGAGGCGCGCGTAGTGCAGCGCGCCCAGCAGCGCGGCGCCGTCGGGGCCGGGTGCCCGTGCACGCTCCAGGTCCTCGCGGCGCGCATCCCGAAGGCGCTCGGGGCTGTAGTCGTGCGGCTCGCGGTCGCGATAGGGGCGCTCGGCCGGCTCCGGGGGCGCGGGGCCCGCGCGGCGTGGCAGCTCCAGGCCGCGGTAGGCCTCGCGCAGAGGCTCCCATGAGAAGCCCGGTGCGCCCAGGCGCTCGCGGCCCGGGCCCGGCTGCGTGGGCGCGGGGAGCAGGCCGCCGCTTGCGGGCTCTGGCGCTTCATCCTCCCTGCGCTCCTCCTTGACCTTCACGTCGCTCTGCGGACGCTCGGGCGGCTCCGGTGGCCTGCCCGGCTCTCGACCCAGCAGGCAGGCCAGGCGCAGGCTGTCGCCCAGGGCCGCCTTGCTGTAGGGCGACGGCGGGCGCGCGACCAGCGTGGCGCCATCCTCCTTGGCAGGTGAGTGGCTCTCCTTGACCCGGGGCTCTGCTGGGGCCCCGGCTCTGCCCAGCTCGCCCTGGCCGCGCAGCAGGAGGCTGCTGATGGGATGGCCCACGGGAGCTGCAGGGGAGGCGCGGCTCAGCAGGCGTGTCTTCTCCAGGAGGTCTCTGGGGGCGACAGGGCAGACCCGTCACTAACAGGTGGCCCTAGACAGCTGTTGGCTGAGCTGCCTTCTAGCACAGTGGAGTCTGTCTGGGCAGAACCTTCAGTACCCTGGGTCCAACACCATACTTTCCCCACCCCAGGCCAAGCTCACAGTTCTTGCCCACTGTGGCCACCACCCCAGCCCAAGGAAATGAGATGCTGGCTGGCCAGCTCTGAAGTGTGGCTTCCTTTCGGGCAAAATCCAGCTGTCCACCTGTGCTTTTAGCCTCTGCCATGGAAGACGGCTCTGGACAATTAGCCCAGCAGCTGCCCACAAGCCCCCCCCCACACACACACAACTAGCCTGCGTCAGGCAGCAGAGGCCATGGCTTCCGCCTTGGGAGGGGCTCCTGAGTTCACTCACCCTTGTCCCCCAAGACACACCTGTGCATACTAGGGGACCACAGGGCTGCCACACTGGCTAGTTCTGCTCAAAGTCATGCAGCAAAGGATCCCTGCCCCTCACAGGGGGCAGAGCAGAGCCACCAGGGCAGGCACGACTACAGGGCCACCAAGGAGAGCTGTGTGGATAGCCTGGCCCATGAGGCTCCTGTGGCATGCCTGTGACTCCAGGGTCCCCTTCCCCACCTCCACTGAACCCTCAGAGGTGATACTGGGGCTGTAGCCTGTGTGCAGGCCCTGTGGGAATGTCATCCCACATTCTCAAGGCCACTGTGACGTGCAACCCCTACCTCCTGTGCTGACCCTGATGGCTGCCCTCTCCCATGTATGTGCCCATGATCAATGCCACCCTGACCCCAGAAACAGTCTGCAGCAGCAGGCAATGGCCCCCAAATCCAGCAGGACCTCAGGGCCTTCCTGCTCCTGGGCCTTCCTCTTGACCTCTATCTCTCCGAAGAGATGCCCCAAATCCAGATTCTGGGATGATGACGTGTGGCAGTGCTTGTGGAGGGCCCTGCCAAGGCTCGCTGGGCCACAGGACAGTGATAGGCCAGTGATGCTGGGAGCTTTACCCTAGTACCCATGTCTGCTGGGCACCCATGGACAAATGATTATAGAGGGTGGACAGGGCCACAGGTGGGAAGCAATACGCGCCCGACCACCTCTGAAGCCCGACCTCCCCAAATTCAATGCCGATACACAGACCAGGGACCACCTGCCACCATGAGCCTGCGGCCAGCCCTGTGAGCTGGAAGCTAGAAGCAGGGCCAGGCAGGGACCCAGGTCCTCATGCATTCAGGCAAGGGCTCTGCCTCCAGGCACCACCACAGGGTCTCCTGGCTGCATCTCTGCCCGGCTGCTCTTCCCTGGCCAGCTGCTGGCCCTCCTGTCCATAGGGTGGGGCTGCCTGGAATGTGGCTTTTGGGACCCTTAGGTTAGCCTTCACTGCACTCCCAGACTTCCTCGGGCAGGCTGGGTCTGTGTTCGACACTGAGCTGTGCAGAGGGGGCAGGTGGGCGGGAGGGAGGAGGGCCTGGGCCTGTTACTCACCGCTCCCGCTCCTCCCGGCCCTGGTCTGGCTCTCGGTCGTGGCTGGTCAGGGCTGCGCTGTGCTCTGCCTCCTGGGGCTTGGGCCATGGGGGCGGTGTGGGGAAGGAGGGGGGCGTCCGGTGCAGCCGGCTCCAGGCCTCGTGGGGGCTGGGCAGGCCGTGTAGCGTGGAGCCCTCCTTGGGGGCAAAGATGCTGCCCCCTGGAGCTGGGGTGGGAGGTAGGGGCAGAGGCAGGAAGGTGAGCCAGACAGACCCCCTCCTCTCCCCTTCCATGCTGACCCAGGACCCCAGCCCCTGCCCAGGGGTCACTCACTCAGTGCGTGGCTGCCCAGGCCTCCGAAGGCATGGCTGCCCAGGCTCCCCAGGCCCCCGAAGGTGCTGGATCTGCTGAAAGGGCCTGTGGGCAGTGGGAGCTCAGGGTCTGCAGGGCTGGGTGGGGCTCCCTGACCCCTGGCCCAAGGAAGGCAACTCCAGAAGCTTCCAGCAACAGGGCCACTTCCCACCCACTCAGCCCCAGCCCTGAGGTCTGCAGAGCAGACTGTACAGGCCCCAGGGCACCCACCTGCAAGGTGACCAGCAGGCAGGAAGCTGTGATGGGCTGAGGGTCCGCAGAGGCTGGAGGCAGGGTGGGCGGCACCTGGGTGAAGGGCTGCGGTTGACAGAAGCCCAGAGAGCACACCTGGAGGTCCTGTCCGCAGCGTGGCTCATGGCTGGGACACCCCAACTTCCCCTGAGAACCCCCAACCTCCCATTCACTCCTCTTCATCCCACTGTGGAATAGGATGTGTCTGGAGTAAGAGTGAAATTCAGGACTCTCCCAGATCTGGCCATAGCGAGGCCACCTGGGGTAAGGGAGGCTGGCTGCAGTGGACTCCAGAGGGAAGAGGGCCGAGGGAAGTGAGTTCTCAGCCATGTGACTAAAAGTGATCCTAGCTACTTCAGGGATTGGGTCTTGGGTACTGAACACAGTATCCCTATCTGTGGACTTCTGAGACACAGGGCCCAGCCCACAAGAGTCCCTCTGGGTGCACTAGCACCCAACAACCAACCCTGTGGGCCCAAGAACCGAATGTGTGGGGGATGGGTCTGAGGTGCTGCTGAGCAGGACCCAGTGCTGGGGAGGCCAGGGCCTGCAAGTGGGGCATGTCCTTTATCTTGAAGGTGAAGCCTCCCACCCCGGGCCACAGGGGTCAGGGCACAGAGCTTCTGGTCTACACTGACTCCCAATAGGAAAGACAGTTCCACCCTCTCGACCAGAGACCAAAAAGCCAGGACCCAGCATCTGAAGCAGGACTGGCAGGTCAGAGCAGGACTCATGGTGTGAAGCAGGAAAAGCAGGACAAAACAGGACCTGGAGGGTCAAAGCAGGCAGTGGGGAGTGGAGCAGAAACGGGCCCCTAGAATGCACATGCCAGCATGAAGGTGAAGACCAGCCTTCTAAGATCCCAACTCAAGTTCGAGAAAGGACAGCAATAGAGCACACACTAGAGGGACAGGCTTTTAAAATACTGAGGGACAGACAGACTCTGCCAGGCCGGCGGTGGGGAACCAGAGGTGGGCCCAGGCAATCCTGGGAGCCACCAGCTCCCTACTGGAAAAGCTCTAGTTATCAAACTAAGTCCAGAAGCAGCAGAGAACTTCAAGGGCCACAGAGCCAGCAGCAGAAAGGAACCTGCAGCTGAAAACCCTGGGCAGGGGCTGGGCCCAGGGAACCCTGCACTGAGTCCCAGGCTCCTCTCCAGAGCAGGAGAGAGGACTTGTGGCTGAACCAAGGGCCGGCCTCAGGACACCAGGCACAGCCAGCAGCGAGAGGCACTGCCCAGCGAGTGAGGCACTGTCAACAGAGGGGCCTCCACACTGCCAAGGTGAGGAGCTGCACCCCAAGGGTGGTGGACGGCGGGGTGTGGACCAAGAGAGATGCAGGCCTCAGAATCAACATGCACTTCTATTTTCTAGCAAAAGCCCATAAAAAAAATGCAATTTTACAAATGCCAATCACACAGTAAGACACACAGCATTCAGAAACGATTCTGATATGCCCTGTCCGTGGGCGGGAGGTGGTTCCTGAGTTGGCCTGTATGCTTAGCAGTACTTGGCGGAGACTAGCGGGAGGATTTAACTTAACACAGAAGAGCAAAAAGAGGGAACATCCGCGAGTCAGAGACCCAGACCCACTGGAGGTGGGGAGTACAGGGTAGGCCGAGTGCAGAGATAGGGGCCAGCTACAGCACACAGCTGCAGACTGGGGCCATATCTTGGGGCTCCAAGGAGGTGACAGGCTTTGGGGACATGTGTGTGTGTGTGTGTGTGTGCACGTGCATGCACGTGTGTACACACACAGGTTGGAGGTACTGTTCTCAGGGAGTCAGGGGTGCAAGGCTGGCTGGAGCGGGCCTCTGGGACTCACACAGGTCTAGAGAGGCCCCTCTGCACCCACAAGATGAGACTACAAACTTGCCTCATTCGCTGAGGTCCCTGCTGCACACTCCTCTCCCAGGCCAAGAACTGGTGCACACCCAGCCACCCTGTTGGTCCTGGGGACCCTGAGGCTGCCGCATCTCAGGGGGAGCAAGGCCAGGGTGGGCCCTGGGAGCATCATCCTGAGAACCCTTCTTGGGCTGCTGGGCCAAGAGGGGACAGAGCAGTGGGAAAAGGAGACCCCAGAAGGAGAGGCCACAGGCCCAGCACAGGACCCAGGGCTGAGGCCCCGACACGCAGATGAGGACCCAAGGCTGGGACAGGATGCCGAGAGTTGAGTGCCCTTCCTCCTGGCATAGAACAGCGGGCTCGGTGGCCCTCAGTCTTACCTGTGCTGGAGAAGAGAGGGCGGGCCAGGTCCTGTGGGTAGTGGAACCCCGAGAACACACCAGGGGCAGGGGGCCTGCTGGACAGGTCCAGCTTTGTGCCCACCTCCAGCTTGTGGGGGTCCAGCTGCATCTGCTGAGAAGACAAGCCATGAAGGTCTGCTGTGGACCCGGCTGCCCACAGGGACCTCGGGGGGGGGGGGGGCACAGCCACACCCCACATGTGCTAGCAACCCAGACACATGCCCCGTGCAACGTTGCCAAGGGGAGGCCACCCTTCACAGGGGGCCCAGAGCCTGGGAGTGGCCCTTGTGCCTGCAGGTCCCAACCTGGACACACTGCTTCGGGGGACAAGCTGCCTGCACTGTGGCAAATAAACTCAGGTGGAAAAGCATAGTCACAGGCCTCAGTTACTCCAGTGAGCTTGAGTTTCCAGTGATGGAATTTAGTTACGTTTCAAAAGCTGAATTTATTAAAATGTAACAAAACCGAGAAACACTCATGGGTGCTGGCCACTCCCAGCTTGAGGGCCAGGCAGGTGGGAGGGCCCATGGCCTTCTGACCTCAGCTGATGCTGCCGAGAGGAACCAAGCCCCAGGTGCCCAAGGCACCACCAGGTGTTACTCAGATGGCCGTGGCCAGCTCGACCTTGCCACTGGCTCTCAGTGGGGACCCCCCTGCCTGGGCCTCCCCAGCATCCCTCCTCTCAGTCCTCTGGGTGCACCCAAGCACCTGCACCCTGAGACGTGGCGTCTGCTCTAGTCCCTTCTCTGCCTTCTCCCTCAGTGTGTTTATGATGGCACGATTCTTAAGGAGTGTGCGTGGCAGAGTCCTGTGTCACAGGGCCTGTTTTGACAGCAAGGTACAGGGACACAGGGCCGACTTGGCATCTTGGAAGGACCCTCTCCTGCCCTGACCAGACACCTGCACGCACAGGACCCAGGGCACACTCCCAGTCCTGCCTGGCTCCTCCCAGGCACCCCCCACCCCCGCCGCTGGCCGTGCTGGCCAAGAGCCCCTTCCCGGGCCCGCCCACCTCACCTTTGCCTTCTGCTGGTGGACATGGATCTGCCAGGCGATCTGCACGTGCACAGCGCACCACCGCCCCGGCTTCTGCGCGGAAAGGCCAGGCGTGCTCAGGGCTGCCCTCTTCCCAGCCACAGGCCACGGGTCACGCGGCCAGGTCCTCCCCAAACACACACTTACCCTGACCGCTGTCCGGTACGGGTCAGACACCTACAGTGGACAGAACAGAGGAAGGGTCACATGTGGGTCCTGCAGGGTGCATTAGGGAGGGGACAGCCTCAAGCTGATGCTGCCAGGTCATATGGGGTGGGGGTGACTTCTGACACCTACCCCAGGGGCCTTCTGCAGGAGCGTGTGGACAGCACTGGCCCGGCCTGTTACCTCAATCGGGTTTGAAGTCTGGTGGTGAAGAGACAGCATGTCACCATGGCTGAGGAAGTCAAGATAACGAACCTCCAAACTTCGGGGTCCTAGGCTGGCCTATGCCCGGGCCACTGCCACCAGGGGCAGCCTGGCTTCCCTCAGTCCAGGGAGTTCCACAAAGGTGGGAAGGGGGTCTTGACATCAATGGCTGGAGAGAGTGGGCCACCCCCAACTGGCAGAGCCACTTGTGTAGGGGCCATGACCACACTTAGGAAGGGACGCAGAGAGCCCAGTCCCTACCCTGGAGCTGCAGGGGGCTGCCCTGTGGTCACAGTGGGCCGAAAAGGGACAGCAGAGGCCCATCCCGCCCAACACCTGGCTCTTCATCTGCCCACCTAGGTAGCACTGCCTGCTCCAGAGCCCTCCTGCCTAAACTGGGCTCAGTGTGAGACCAGCCCCTCCAGGTGTGGGCAGCTTGAGTACTGCAAGGGAGGCTACAGGGGCCTTTTAAGTCAGGGTCTGCTGGAACCTGGGAGGACTCGGGGCCTGTCGCAGGATTTGTCCCAGGTTTCAGGGCCACATCTGTATCCCTTCCCCAGCAGTCAAGAAACAGGTACAGACAACAGGATGCCTGCATGCTGTGGAAGGCTCACAAGGCTGCCCTGTCCGGGGCTGAGATGGCTCACAAGCTGGCGGAGGGGAAGGCCCTGTGCTGGCTGCTGTCCACACTGGGGACCTCTGAAGCCCACTTGGGAGAGTGAGCACCCAACATAGTCCCCTCTGTAGCTACCACCACCCCCCCCCCCCGGGAACATTTCCAGTCCAGAGGCCTCCAGATCCCTAGAGCAGCTGCACAGACCTCAGACAAGCCAGCTTGGAAGACGTTCTCAGGTCAGTGGCCAGACTGTAACATGGACAAGAGGTACTCCCAGCCCCTCCTCCTCACCACCTGTGTGCCCACCCCACCTATCATGCACAGCCAGTACCTTGGGCTGAAAAGCACCCTGCAAGGACCCAAAGGGGCCAGGGTGTGTGAGCAGGGTGGGCAGTCCTGGGACAGCAGGAGGGAAGGGTGGAAAGAGCTGCAAGAGAAAGTGCTGGGTCACAGACCCTCTTGAGGAGGACCGCAGTGACCCCGTCCTCTCCCTTCTCAGGAAGATGTGTACCCTAGGCTTGCCCCAGTAACAGGCTGCAGAGGGAGACACTCACGTTGGAATGTCGGAAGTAGGGGCTGTCCAGCTTGGGTGAAAACTTGTCAAACTGCGGGAAAGGAAGCGGAGATGAGGCCTCCTGAACTGGCCTGATGCCCTCTATGGGCCCATCACCCGCCCACCCTGGCCAGTGGGCAGCCGCCCCAGGGTCCCTGAGATCAGCCCCTAGCACTGAACTATGCTGGGGCTGGCAGACAAGGGCAGCCTCCCACTCTCACGTTCCCTGCTACCTGGGCAGTCTGTGCCGCTGGGTGGAGGAGAGGGCGTGAAGCCCTGAGGCAGGGCAGGGGAGCTGGGGGACACACCCCTGCCACAGACAGAGAAAGTGGCCCCACTTAGCTTTGGCTTAGGAGAGGAGCCTGGGCTCTGAGGAACACCAGGGCCCAGATCTGGCACCTGCTGCCAAGGGCCGAGCACCCAGCTAGAGTGCAGAGGCTGAGGGCCTGTTGCACACGTGTGGACACAGGCGCCTAAGGCTGGGACAAGACATAGAAATGGGCAGAAGGGCTGGGGGGGCGAGCGGGACGGGGTGGAGGGGGCAGGGAGTGGCCACGGCCCACCCTTGGCCGTGTGCACGTGTGGAGCGTGCGTCTGCGTGTGCCTGCCATGTGCCCCCCGCCCGCCCGGCAGCACGCGGCCTACGCACCGGCAGGGGTGCAGCGGGCGGCACGAGAGGCGACGGGGGCAGCCCCGGGAAGGGGGCGAATGTGTGTTGGTGCTGGTGTGTGTGCTGGTGTGTGTGTTGGTGTGTGTGCTGGTGCTGATGGAACTCGGCCAGCAGAGCCCCCGGGCCCAGGGAGGCGCCCGGCCGCTCAGCGCTCTGCACCAGAAACCGCGTGTTCAGCTCTTGCCTGAGCAGCTCGCGATCTACAAGAGAAAAAGAGAGAAGACAGAGAGGCACGTCGGCCGCGGGCTCCCGGCGGGGCGAGGCGGATAGTCACCTGGCACTCCCGGTTTTGGCAGGCCAAGCCGTGGCGGCCGCTCGCTACGTGCGGGCCCCAGGGTGGAGGTAAGAGAGGAGCCTGTGACCAAGTACCAATCAGAATCCCCGAATGAGGCTGGCAATACATGATTGGCTGGTTGAATGAGATCAACAGGCTGGCATCTAGAGGCAAGAGAGAAGTCGGTAAGCCCGCACCCTTGAGTCCCTCCGGTGCAGGAGGCCAGCCTGCCCCACCCAGCTGGCTGATTCAGTTCCAGTGAGCCTCTGGAGTCCCATCCCAGGGAGCAGGGGCAGGGGCTGTCATTGCAGGACCCCCAGTCTCGGGTCCTGACACTGAGGGGTGGGGAGGGACAGAAACCCTGAAGGTCACCCCACCAGAGGCGGCCAGGGTCCAGATGGAGTAGGTCGATGTGGGAGGCCAAAGTGCAGGACCCAGGGCTGTCCGCGTATGGGACACAACCCTGGACTTGAAGCTTTGGACAAGGACAGCCTGCCGGGTCAGAGGGGCACCCTTCCCCCCACCTCTCAGGCCTCTGGGGAGTGCCTGTGGCAGAGTGATCCCTTTCCGCCACCTACCGGCAGGGTGTCCTGGGATGACCAGGCTGCTGGCGGGCAGCGCCGGGGGCGGGGGCAGTGTCGGGGGTGTGGCGAACATGGCCGCCGCGTGGTGCTGGTGCTGCGCCTGGGACCGGAGCGCCAGGTGTGAGGTAGAGAGGTGGGGGCCGGGCCCGTGCGGCGACAGCGACACGTGCTTTGCCAGGCCCAGAGGGGCGCCACTGCCCGTACTGCTGCTCCTGCTGGGGACATGGGGCTCAATGCCACCTGCAGCCCCTGCCCACTGCCGCACCCACCCCTCAACCCCACCTGGAGGCCCCGCCCACCTGAGGCTGTGCAGGTGCAGCCCGTTGGGCCCGGCCTGGCAGGGGCCTGGGCCCGTGAAGGTGCTCAGCGATGGAGGCACGTGCGTTGGGAGCGGGTCCCGCTGCTGCGGGGGTGCGGGCAGCGGCTGTGGAGCGTGGCGGGGCGCCGGGGTTTCCTTCTTCACCAGGGGGCTGGCACGGGTGCTGCATGCAAGCCCGGAGGGCGCGGCAGCCGGCAAGAAGGTCTCAGTGCTGAGCTCACGGCTGCGCTCCAGGCCCGACACCTTGGGCACTGCCCCAGCCTTATTCTCCGACTTCTCACTGTGTGCGGGGTCTGTGGGGGAGAGGGCAGGTATGGTCCTGTGGCTGGCCCCACCTGCCCAAGTGCCACCTGCCAGAAACCTGAAAGTCCAGGCCCACTAATGCTCTTGGAAGCCACCAGGGGGTCCTGCGGCCACTGCTGTTTCCAATGGGAATCAGGCACAGGTGGGTCCTGTACTTTTACCCAAGACCACACAGTCAGGGCCTGCTGGGTGCTGCCTCTGCTTCAGCCCCTCCCAGGAGGCCTCCCTTAGTTCCGAGCCTGAGCAGCCTTGCACCCACACAGGAAGAGTCCTTGCCCCCACAGTAGCCCAACAGGGAGGCAATCAGGCCCCATCTTCCAGATAGGGCCCAGTCACCTTAGGGCTTGGTCTACCCCATGCCTGTCCTCACTGGCTGGTTACCATCCTCTTTCTGATCTCTCCAGAGATCAGGGAAAGCAAGTAGCCCCACAGCCAACTGCTCCCCTTAGCTCTCCCAGGGCCTGAGGCAGGGGCCAGCGGAGGACAGACTCACCTTTCCCAGCTGCTGGTGAAAACAGCTTCTCGGAGCCCACAGAGGCCTGAGGAGAGAGCAGAAAGCTGGCCTGGGGGTGGAGGGGACAGGAGCCTGGCCCCCGCTCCCAAGGCTGGGCACCCACACCCAGGGTCTGCACAGGTTTCTGGCCTGTCTGGGTGCTGTGGCCTGGTGTAGGTGCCCTCTGTGCACCCCCATGCCTGAGGGCAAATGGCTGTCCTGCATGTGTTCACACTGGCCACCCAGGGACCCCTCTGCTCAAAGCAGAGGCCTAGGGGCAGGTACCCGGGGCCTGTAGACCTGTGCCTGGCTCTGCTGAGCAGAGGAAGGTGAAGCCCTCACCACCTCCTACCCTGGCTTAGTGAGCTGGGTGGGTGTGAGAGCCACCTGTTGGTTGGGAGGGACACAGCCCTTCTCCATGTTGGCGCTGGCGGAGTTCGGGTCATGACCATAGTGAGGCGGCTAAGTGTCCAGGCACGTGACTACTGAGCAGGCTGAACCCCATGGGCTACCTGACCCTCTGTCAGTCCTAGAGACTGTGGCCCTCAGTGGCCTGATGGGGGCAGGGGAAGGGAGAACGTGGCTTTGGAGGGCTCTATATGGGTTTCCCAGACGAGTTTGAGAGAAGCTTGAGCAGGTCCTTTTTCCTAGCCTTTGATCTTTTTCACCTTCATTGAGTCATGGACTGAATATGCCCCTCGAAGCCTAGACAAACTCCAGGCCCTGATGAGATCTCAGGGCTGGAAGAGGGGGTCCCACGCAAGCCTCTATGCATAGAGCTCACTGTCCTCTTGCTGCTGCATCCAAGGGCAAATGGGCAGGTGCCATCAGAACCAGCAGCAGCATGTGCGACGCCAGATCTTTTGGTGCCTTGACCTTGGACTTCAAAACTGAGCAACAGATGTATTCATAAGACCCCAGCTGGTCTGACTGGATAAAGACCCAGACACAACCCAGGTGCACCCCCCATGGCTACTGTACATTTGCAGAGTGGACACCCATCACTGGCCACCAGCCCATAGAGACCTGGCTTTCATCCCTGCCCTACCCTGGGTTCTCCCTGTACCTTCCTGCTCTGAACCTGCATACAAGTGCTGTCCCATGGTGGGCCTGCCCATGTGGTGTGCTTCCTACAAAGATCTTGGGGGCACTGCTGGATGTAGGGGACAATCAGGGAACACTGTGCAGTGCTTACAGACAGATGTGCTGCGGTCATGCCGACACATGTGCACTGTACATACGTGGGCATGAAGGTATGTGCACTTATATGTCCATCTACGAGCACGTGTACACACAGGTTACATGTGGCTCGTGTGTGTGTATGATGGGGGTGTGAACTAAGTGTGCATGTTCACAAGTCCACCCTGCCAGCAAAACCTGAGGAAGGACCTGGAGGACCGTGCCACTGGAGTCCTGGACATGAGTGTCCACCCCAGGGTCCTGAGACTCCAGAAGTGCCTCCCTGAAGGAGAAGGGTCCACAGGGTGGGCAAGGAAGGCTCTGCAGGGGGAGGCAATAGGTCCAGCATCTGAACCCCACAGCTGCCACCACCAGCCTCAGGCCAGGGCCACAGCCTGCAGATGCTCTCAGAAGGACAAGGACGAGATACAGATGAGGTGCCAGGTGTGTGCTGGGCAGGGAACATGGAGCAAGCCAGCACAGGGGCTGGGCCTGCCCCCAGGGCCTCCCAGGCTACCACGCTCCCCGAGCCTGTGGCTTCCTAGACCACCAGCACAGCAGGAACCCCCATGTGGCCACAGGGGCTGTTATTACCCCCACCTGGTCTCTGCTCCTGTCCCCATAACGACCAACTGGGCTGGTTTCAGCACTGTGGAGTTCTTCACATTGGCCAAGTGTCTCTAAAACCAGTTCAGAACAAGTTGTACCCAACTGAGGACATTCCAGAGCCGCCCCCTCTCTGTGTGCCCCAACTCTACCCTGAGGTTCCTGTACCCAGGGCTGCTGTGGTCCTCACCTAACCCTCCTGGTGTCTTGAAGCCTTGCTCCACCCTAGGCCCTTCCTGGACCATTGGCGGGGCCTACCCTTTCTATGTGCTCTTTACTGTGGGCCTGCCTGTCAGATGCCCCCTCTGAGCCTGGGCCACAGCCTGGGAGGGCTGGAGCCCTCCATGCCAGCCCCTGCCAGACCAGCCAGCACAACAGCAGCTGCCCTTCCCCAGGGAGGCTGCAGGAGGTCCTGTCTGTGTGGCCACACTGACAGGCTGGGCTGCTGGGCATGGTGCCAGCTGCACAAGGCTTGATGGCCCAGCTCACCCACGCTGCCACAGGGCTCTTCCCAGAAGCCCTGGCAGCAGATGAAAAGAGGAGCCAGGGCCCAGGTGGCAGTCGCTGCCTGTGGGTCAGCAAGGAGGGCGAGGGCACTGAGGCCTCCTTGCTGGCCCACAGTGTGACCTGCCATCCACAGCCAACCTGGAAGGCAGCCTCGGAAGTTCAGAGATCACCAACAAGAAGTGGGGGCTGTGGGAGACATCAGATATCTAGGCACCACATGGCTTTGCTCTCCCCTCCTCCTGCAGACTGCTGAAGGAAAGGTGTCACCTGAATGCCTGTGGCACTTAACCCAAACACTGGGGTTTCAACTCCCTAGGCCAGAAAGCTGGGTTCCCAGGCCATGAGATGGTGCCCCAAGTTCCAGGACAGCTGGAGAGCAGGGGAAGAATTAGGAGGGAGCTCGCTTTTCCCCACGGAGCAGCATCCCTGTAAAGGCTGGCAGGCAGGCAAGCAGGTCCACCCAGACCTGCGCCCAACACTGCCACAGCTAGTCCGTCTCAGCAGGCAAGTGTGCTCAGGGAAGTAGAGGGCGGGCAGCCAGGGAGGCTCTGCAGGACCCTAGCATGGACCAGCTTCCACAGGCCTGAGAGGGCCTGGATGCCTGGCCAGACATGGTCCCACCAATCCAGGAAAGCTCTGAACTGACCGAGAAGCCCCCAGGTCCCAGGATCTCCTGGGGGGCTGGCACAGGTTCCAGCTGGCTTCCTAGAGCGAACAGAGACACATCTTTCTGGGGCTGACCCCCACTTCCCTCCCTCATCACTTTCCCTTAAATCAGGACTTCAGAGCTGGCTGGCTGGCGGGACCAAGGAGGGTGGGGGACCCGTGCGGGCCACCGAACAGCTCTAACAACTTTCTGGGCATTATCTACAGGGGTAAGACCCAGGCACACCATCCAGCTCCAATCCTGACGCTGACCCGTGTGCGGGCGGAAGGCGTTGCTCTGGGCCAAGGCCACGGGCTGCAGACTCTGGGTCCCGTGGGGCGTGGCAGCCAAGGTGGGCCCCACTAACCCCTTCAAGGTGCAGAACGCCGGGCTCCGGAGAGGTCCGCGCGCTTTGTCTGCGAGGCCTCGCAGTGGCCGGCCGCGCCCCGCCCCAGACAAAGAGCTCAGCTGGGGCAGGTGAGCGAGGGCCGGTCCTGATGCCGCCTCAGGCCGGGCGCAGACAAAGGCGCGCGCCCCCAGGGGCCGGCCCCGCCCCCGTGCCCCTCGTGGGCCGCTCCTCGCCGCCACGCGCGTCCCGGGCGCCAGACTGACCTCGCGGAGCACAGGTCCGGCCGCCGAGCGCCGTCAGCCTGGGCCGTCGAGGCGGCCGCTCTCCGCCCCGCTCAGCCGCAGCCCGGGCCCGATGCGCGCGGAGCACGCATGTCTGCCGCGCCGACGGGCCAGGGGTGCGGGGGCGCGGGGCTACGGCCCGGCGCCGTCGGGGGCGGCGCGGCTGGCGGCGGGCGCGCTGCGGGCGGCGGACGCGGCGGCGGCGAACGCGGGCGGGGGGCGGGGCGCGGGCAGGCCCGACTAATCTAGCCCCGAGGCGCGGATCTGCGGCGTCCTGGCCACCTAGGGACCGCAGGTCCCCGGTTCGGGCGCAGAGCGCCACGGGGCCCGACTCTGTATCCTCTCCGCGACAAGTTATGCGCATCTGCCACCCGGCTTACGGAGGGCAAACTGAGTCCGGGAGGAGCTGGGTTTGAAGGGCCGACAGAACCCCCGGAGTCCAGGTCCTCAGGGACCTGCAGCCAGCCGGACTGCCGGGCCTGGGTTACTCCCACCAAGCAGGCTCCACGGAGTTGCTGCCGCTGCAGAGGGCTGCACAGCGCGCCCACCTGGCCACGCGGAGCTGCCTGTGGAGACTTCACAAGGTGGCCACAAAGAGATTCGAATGCGGATCCAACCACGGGCCCCAGGTGAAGGCCAAGTGTGAGTGCCACACAGACCCAGGCCCGCAGCGGGACCTCCCAGGCCAGTGTACGAACATGCCAAAACCAGAATGCATGGAATTCCCATCTGCATAGCGCTAGAAAGAACATCAGGGGAGGGAAGTGGGGGGGACGTGCTGGACAGAGTGGACAGGGCCCTTGGGAGTCTAGCTCAGGCTCAGGACTTGAGATCAAGGAGGAGCCGGTCAGTCTTCTATTTCTGAGCATCCATTCAACAGAAGGTGGGAGCCAGGTACAGAACCCTGTGCAGGCTGGGCTAGCATTTCCCTTTCAATAGGTGGCTGGACACGCACAAACCCAGCCCCCCCCCCCCCCCCGCCCCAATCTCCAAGGGCACAGAAGAGATTGCCAACCACGAAGACCTCTGGGTGGGGATTTTAAGCCCTTTTCTTCTGCTTGAGTTATTGCCTAAATGCACATTCTGTCCTTACCAAATAATAAAACAAAACCACTCCCAAAGTCCTGCTGTCTCCTGCCATAAAAATCAACCCGTGCCTAAGCAGAGATAGAAGCCTGAGAGCCCCCAGCCCTGTGGCCCTGACAGCCATCCCACACACAGACAAATAAACAGCCTGCACCTGGCTGCAGAGCCCAGGGCTCAGCCAGGACAAGCCCCTCCTCCAGGAGGGGTGGCAGATATCTGCTTAGACCCTGGAACTCAGGGAGAGCTGCAGGAGCTTGGGCCTCCAGGGGGCTGTGAGGAGCCCCAGTGGTGAGGCCTGCAGGTGAGGGAATGGTAGGCTCACACACCCCAGCTGGTTTTGTCTTTCCTGGTTTGATGAGGTTGGAAATCAGAAGGAAATGGAGTTAAGATAG